GCATTCGATCTAAGGAGAACCCCGCGAGCGCCCGCTCGCCCGCCCCACCGGCGGCCACGTGCTCCCTAACCGAGCCGAGCGGTCCGAGCAAAGGAAAAGCGGAGACGGGGGAAAGTGACGTCATTTTCGAGCAGGGACGGTGGCACTCCGGTCCCCAGAACTTCTGGAACCTTCTGGGGGCCGGTGTACGGTCTTCCACGTGTTTTCAACTTAGTCGTGACCTTTTTATGCATTTTTAACAGAGGCAGCAGTTGAGCGGTCCATGATGGGGATGATCAGTTTCTTTGCTCCCAGACACTTAAGAGCAAAAAAATTTAAAAAGCCAGGAACTCCTCCGATAGCAAGGACTGGCCAGGAGGAGGAGGACACATGAGGGGCTGCTGGGGGACCGGCGGCTGGGTATCTGGAATTTAGACGCTGCAGCTGCCAGCTTTCCCCGCCATCCTGCCTTCAGCCCTGACTGGTCCCTCAGCGTTCATTGTGCACCTTCTTCCAAGTGCCAGTCACTGGCCCGAAAGGATAAGATGAGTTTTTGCCTCTTAACTGATTCCGATGGTATTAACTAGTTAACGTAGTGGTGGGCTTGTACAGAATTTCTAAGTAAGTCATTACATTTGGAAATGTTTCTTTCCTTTAACAGTGTAGGAAGCCTTTTGTGTGATTCCTGGCTGCTGTGTAAATTGTGTGCAAGCTGAGTTAAATGAAAATCTCATTAAGGCACCCGCAGCCTCCTGGACTACACAGGGTTTTTTCCCATAGTTTTCACCAGGTTCTGGGTGGATGAAGGAGTGTGTGAGCCAAACATTTTAAGAAGCATTTCATTATGTCTTTATCTCCCTGAGTTAATACAGCAAACCAAGAAGAGGTATCTATTCCCCAAGTCAGAGTATTAATAACCACAGTTTATCTTAGCGAAGGAGGCATGTGTTACTACCCCAAGAAAGGAGTCCGAATGTGAGGAATTCTCCACCCACAGTGATTTCATGGATGGCAACAGTTAGAGAAACCGGAGCCAAAACCACTTTCTGGGGTTCTGCTGCGAATGAGAAAAAGAGAACAAGAAAAAAAGCAATGCTTCTCCATTACTTTTAACACTAACATTTTTACATCAACCCCCAGACAAAGTGGAGCACAACTAGAGATCAGTGGCCTCAGCTACTCAATGTCCCTCTAGAAAATAGTTTTTTTTATGTAGCAGCATCTCCCCAGGTCTTTAGAACTTTGAGGGTGTGTTCTCAACCATTTTAGGGGTTTCTCTTCCCTAATCAGGAAGAAAGGATTTTTTCTTAAAGCAATGAGGTCATTGCCCCTCCTTCTTCAAGCTAAATCATTGTCCTCAAACTTGAATTAATGCCTCATGTGCCGTAGGTACAAAAAGTCAGGTCCTCAGCTGGTTGCAGTGTTGACCTGTAGGTACACTAATAGGTGGTGGGTTTGAGTCCCAGTCAGAGCACATGCCCAGGTTGCAGGTTTCATTCATCCCCAGTCCAGGTGTGTTTAGGAGACAACTAACTGATCTGATAGTTCTCTCTTACATTGATGTTTCTCTCTCTCTCCCTTCCTCTCTCTAAAATAAAGTAATACTTTTTTTTAAGTCAAGTACTCATCTCTAAAAGAAAGCCTCTGGATTTGAGTTTATTATAGTCTAATATTGATTAATATAACATGAATTCTGATTACTGTATACAAGTGATTGAACTGTAACTTTTTTTTTTAATCTTCCCAAGGATATGTTTTGTTTGTTTTTTAATTGATTTTGAGAGAGAGAGAAAGAAACATCGATCAGTTGCCTCTAGTATGTGCGCCCAGACCAGGGATTAAACCCGAAACCTCAGCATTGCCCTGACTGGGAATCGAACCCGAAACCTTTTGGTGTATGGGAAGATGCTCCAACCCGGCTAGGGCTAAACTATAACTTTTTAAATTAACCCTTGAGCTGAGGAGGAAAGATTAATTAATATATGTTGAATTGTTCATTGTAAGGACTTTCCTCATCATTTTAGACTTTTGTAAGCTTTGTTTCTTTCTTTAAAAAATAAGTAATATTAACATTAATGTTAACTAAGGAAGTGTTTTAGAAAATAATAAAAATAGAGAGAAATGCTAATGCCTGGACAAAGTCACAGCACTACACTGTTAAAAACTAGAAGAATTATGTCTAGAAGGTGAATTTTTAAAAAGAAAACATAATATTCATATGTAATTTGTTTCTAACGTTTTACTGGGGCACTAGCTTATCTTTTTCAACTTCTTCTAAGAAGGTGATTCCTTTATCTCCTGGTTTTATTACCTATTTTAAGTGGTGTTTGGTTTTTGCGTTCATCAGTGGCGCATAACACCGTGCTTAAGTTATTGTAATTATAAATAATGCATGCTAACATTCATTTAATGAGCACTGACTATATACCAGACCCCATGCCTCCATTCTCCAGTTGGGAAATTGAAACTTAAGAAGTTCAGTCTTGTGCAAGGTCACATAGCTAGAACCCAGGAAGACTAGCTATAGAGCTTAATACTTCATTACTAGTTTTCTTAAATAAGTCATATTTTAAAATGTGGGAATAGTGTAAGGATGAATATATGATTTTACTGGAAGAGGTGAAAATTCCATTTAAATTGGTGTTTAATTCAGTAAATATTGAACACCCACTCTGTGCCAGGTATTGTGGCGCTCCTAGTCAGCTCTGGATGGTGATGAAGATGGGGCGTGGTTTGTGGAGAAGGGCACAGGGCTTGATGACAGGATGGGAGATTGGCTGTTCACACATTTCCCCACACTGATCATATTGAGGCTCCTTCTCCCACTTATCAGCCATTTGCAGTGGCTTACATGGAGGGTTGGGTGAGCGAAGGGGGTGATATGGATCATTTGTTGGCTGGAAAGTTTCTGGTTGCTCAAAAGTTTCTTAGGGTGTGGCAGTGTCCAAGGAGTCCTCAAACAAGATGGCACCATAGTTAATGTTGTACAACAGCCTATAATTTAAAAGAGCACTTTTCATAAACATTGTGATTGGAACCTTAAAAACCCTTTGGCTAGGAGGGCAGATGTTATCTCTCTTGGAAATGAGGGAACTG